AAAACATGCAATAATATATCCAAGAGACCGCATATCAAAGCGAAAATCAAACAACCTATAAATAGATTGAAAGTGTCGTCACGAGATCATCCGGTAGAGGGCGGGAAGTCATGCGAGCGAGAATCGACCAATCAGAATTGAACACATGGTTTAAACCAACGGCTACGCAACTTACCTAGTAATTTAGTCGGTGCTATTACTCAATCGAAGGAAAGTTGTTTTAAATTATCAAATTCAAAAATTCACAATTCAAAAACTCAAATCGAAATGGACAAAAGTATGAAAAAATGGCAGAAGTTTTTAAAACAACAACCAAGCTTAGACAGTAGCAGTGACGAAATAGAAGAATTACCACCGAATTTAAACTTAGAAGCAATCACAAAAGAAACAAAATCAGTCCGAACAAACACTGTCCCATCGTTACCATCGGCATTCAAAGGCGAGACAATCCCACCAGTGGACTCGAAATTGGTATGCATGTCAATAATAGCCCGTAATTACAAAACTGTAAGCCAGATTACCTCACTTCCCGATTTGTTCAACTTAAAGTTTAATCACGTTTCTGATTACGTAAAATGAGTCAAATTACGTTTCTGACCCCCAACTTAGCGCGATTAGAGACTTAATAATTACGAAAGATCCAAATATCCACGAAAAAATTACTGCTATGAATCGCTTTTACTCTCAATTCGTTAATGATTTCTACGTCAAAGAAAAAGTCGTTTGGATGGATGAAAAACTCGTGATACCGATGAACCTCCAAACTGCAATTAACAATAGAATCCACGCTTACCACCACGGGAAGAACAATATGTTCGATGCCGCAAAAGACGTCTGTTATCCCTACCTTTACCGGTCAAAAGCCGAGAACTGCCCTGAATGCACCGCCGCCGGTAAGAACTCAAAAACGATTTTAAGTGAAATTCAGCTCGGAAATATACCTGAACCGAAGGAACCCAACGAATCAGTCCAAATTGATTTTTGGGGCCCCATTAACTATTTAAATGAATCCCGAAAATACGTGTTAGTGGCGGTCGATCGGTTTTCTCGTTGGCCATCGGCGATGGTCTGTGGAAACAACCGGTCTGATAAAATAATGAAGTTTTTAAAAAGTTATATAACAAACCACGGGGTGCCAAGGAAAATTCACCTAGACCAGGGGACAAGTTTTATGTCAAACGAAATTATAGCAATCTGTAATGGGGAGGGTATCGAAATCATAAAATCACCAGTAAATGATCACCGGGCAACTGGGTGCGTAGAGCGCACCATTGGTAGTCTTAAAAACTCAATACTGACTTTCGTCCAAGAAAAACAACCCGAACCCTTAGAGAAAATGATCGAAAGGGCCCTTGGTGCTCTCAGATTTTCGAAGAATGCGACACTAAAAATCTCGCCCTTCGAGGCGCACCATGGTCGCGAAGCAAACACTGTCCTAAGAAACCTTACAAAAAAAACATCTCTCCAAAATCTGGATTGGTCGCGGGTAATAAAAACGAAAAATGCTTGTTTAGATGACGCCGACTCAAATGAGAGGGACATGCCACACCCTGCTGATACAAACTGGAGCGTAAGGTCAGATCTGGCGTACGACCTTAAACAATGAAGCTGACAAATGAGCAAACGGAAAATCAGGACGACGAACCGTCCGTACTGAAATCCGCAGGCACGAGCGGACAACCGGGACCCTTTGGATTGTTATTCCAGCAAACCGGAAACCGGAATCTGAAAAGGTATGAACAACTTCGTTCTAAAGTCGAAGCAGAAAAGGCTCATACGTTAACTTTAAATAACAGGGTTGTTCTTAGAAAATTGGGTGTGGCCATGAAGCCAAAATCGAAGAATTCAAAAGCGGCCTTACTACAAGCGGTCCTACCACCACCGACTCCGCGCAAAGTGAAAGAGCGGGCAACAAAAAAAGCAGCTACCGAAAAACAGCGGAAGCAAACCGGGCGCCGATTCGAAAACAGTGGTTCCGAATCGGAGGACAGTGAGGATCTACCGATTATCTCGGTCAAACGGACAGTTCAAACACCCGCGGAGGCACAAGCAGGATCAGCACAAGCGAGCGAACAACCAGCAACCAATCCAGTACCAGACACCGGAAGCGATCAGGATACGATCCCGGCACTAGGCGGCGAAATGGAAAGAAATCCAGGGGACCCAACATTGTCGCATCCAGGGGACCAAACATTGTCGGTACCCACGGAAAAGAAGAAGAGAACAACACGAAAGGCCAGGCTGTTATCGTATAGCACTCGAGAAGATAGTCAGGACGAGACAGCATCGAAAAGGAGCGGGAGAAAAAGAACAGACGTGACAAAGATGGGAGGGGTGATGATCTATTTCATCAGCAAGAATGACAAAGAGTGGGGAAAAGTAACTCAGAAACTTAAACTGAAAAACAAAACTATTTAAAGCCCAGGGAGAGGGTTGGTCATTATTGGACTAAAAACTCAAAACGTTTATCACCACTAAGTGATCCTTTACTTGCTAAAAATCCGTTGTTAGTAAATTTGTTAAGTATCTTCAAAACGTTTCAGCCAGTAATTTTCTTCAGCAATAACTTAGAACCAACATCCAGTAGTCAAATTTTTCAGTCATTTAAAGTTTCATCTTTTGAAGGGGAAGTGTCATATAGTGTTCATTTAGTTCAACTTACAGCCATCAATCAACTGTCAATCGTGGTGCTAATTAGTCTGTTAGCAGTTGCTGTCCTTGGCATAGTCTGTCACCCTTGGTTAACCTTTAGTGTCATTCTTATTGTTAACTTTGTGAGATCAAGTTGATTATCTTTTGGAATTTACATACTGAACAATTAACGTTTTTAACAGCCCATTTTACTCGTGATCGTTGGCGCGTCTACCTCCCAGAACTGTCTCAGTTTTTCCGACTCCCTCTGATGATTTTTTGATTTTTCTCGTTCTAATGGCACTCCAATACTTCATCAACAAATGGTGAAACAACTACAATTCACAGGTGTTGGGAATAAAAGAGAAACACCAATATCCATTACATATTTTGATTTTAAATAAAACTAACTGCAAAGCTTTTGCTGCAACTGGGTCACCATTAATTGGACCTTCTAAATCATTTTGTGGAGAGCTACCTATGTTAGTTTTTCTATTCGCCGCACAATCATGTCTGATAATGACATTTTCAATAGCAGCCGCTGTTTACCAAGTTTACCTCACTGGAGTCGAACAAGACCTTCATAAATTGAACCAGACTTACATTGGTCAAACATGCATAAAACTTTCACACCAAGTGTATCGAACTTGTTGCTGATTTAGCTTTAAATTGGACACATTAGGTACAAAAAATGAATCATCAAATAGCTGGAAGTAGAAAAAAGTAAAAAAAAAGTTTCTCAACAAAATGTTTCAAAGGGATTATGGTTAACTAATTTACATTTTTTCTAAGCTAGACTCCCAGCTTTTGATGATTTCTGACTTAAACTGTGACCTAATTTTTCAGATGCACTTAACAATAATAAAATAAATATATGTGTAAAATTTTTATAACAATATAATTCTGGAGGTAAAAAAGCTCAAAAAATAAAGTCAATACCTCATTAGATTAATCAAATCCGTTAAAAATTTAGTTTCTCTGATGCATCTGTCTCAAGTATTAGGATACTTTAATTTAAAAATATAAAAAGGTCACGTTGGTTTTGCCGAAAACGCTTAAGTCGGAACATGAAAACGCTGTTGTGCAGCAAAAGTTGGGAAACGAAAAATCACCAATCCGACTGAATAAACCTAGTGATTCGCAAAGAGTGTAAATTATTTCATGAGTTATAGATAGAAGTCAATTGATTTTTGTTAAATGCGGTTTTAAATAAGTAAATCAGTTCAATCGTAGATTTAGTTCAAGTAGAAAGCTGAGATGTCTTTTTTAGGCTTCAACATTCCGCCTCCCTTGAAGTGTCTTCAATTTTCAGATCGTTATTATGTCTGGATATGACTACCCATTTACAGTGTATGAGACGAAGGAGAGGAAGAGTAGGGCGGAGTCGGGTAGAGCACCACGTCTGCCTCCACATGGCGAGGTGCGAATGTCCAGTAGGCGGGGCGCTGTCGACCGGGAGGACCTGCAGGGTTTCTTCGATGCTGCTAAGTATCTGAGGAACCTTGGTTCTCAGCAGAAGAAACTGGTCCGCTATGGTGTTCTTGAGAAGGGGAAAAGTTTGTATCTTCCATATGCGTGGTGCCATGCAGTTCTGTTTCTCTGCGACGAAGAGAGGGTCTGCTGCATGTACTATGCGGAGATGCAAACTCGAGTTTCCTTGGTAGCATCTGCGTGGAAGCGCTGCCAGCGACACTGCAGGGTCAACAAGCGAATAGGACCAGATGACAGCGAATCGCATGACAGCGAATGACTGTTCAACGGTAATTATGTAAACAATTATTCAATAAATGAACTAAATGTGACTGCACCATAAGTAAGGAGTATACAAGTGAAGTATTAACGGTACGAGTCATGAGCGAAAGTTTGTCCTAGCTGTTTTCAGACAATAATTACATTTTGGGTCATGAGGGTACAACCTCAAACGAATTTTAATGCTGGGAATTTAAAACATTGGGAATTTACATGAAAAAGGTCAATATGAACGATTCAGACCATAATGCATTGCATAGGGGGTAATTTAGGTTCCTACTTTCAAAAGGGTCATGGGGGTACTACCACTTAAAATTTGAAAACTGCACATTTTTGATATTTTTGCAATTTTTAGCACTATAAAGTTCTTGTTTTAAATGAACTGCACATTAGATATGACTTGGTTGCTATACTGGTAGCTTCCGCAGCTTCGCGACTGGGCGTATGTATTCACCAGTTGTGGTCTTCACTTTTACCACTCGAACAATCGAGTCATTTCCAGGATAAACTTCTATGATTCGTCCAGTTTTCCATTCTAGCGGTCGTTCACTGTCTTCGGCAAGTAGGACTAGGTTGCCAACTTTAAATTCTGGGCCATCCGTGAACCATTTTTTCCGTATTTATAGCGTTATGAGGTAATCCGTTTTCCAAACTTTCCAGAAATCCTTGATCATATTCTGTAATAGTCGATATCGTACATTGGTTGAAACTTGGATGTCAGCAGAGGGAAGAGTTAGCAATGATTCCCCTATCAGAAAATGAGCGGGTGTCAGCGGAGTTGGGTCGTTAGGATCACTTGACATTGGATACAATGGTCGTGAGTTTAAGACAGCTTCAATTTGATTAAGAATTGTAAGAAATTCTTCAAAACTGAGACGTTGCAGTCCTATAACTTTTCGCATATGTCTCTTCATACTTTTTACAGCTGCTTCCCAGAGTCCTCCGAAGTGAGGAGCACGAGGAGGGATGGTGACGTATTCAGTTCCTTGGCTATTGACGAAACTAACAACTGATTTGTCCGTTCCATTTTTGTCGAGCAGTTCCTTGATTTTGATCAGATCATTTCGAGCCCCGATAAAATTGCTTCCATTGTCACTTAAGATCTTCTCAGGTTTGCCACGGCGTGCAGTAAATCGTTTCAATGAAAGAATGCATGCTTCTTCGGTTAGACGAGTAACCATTTCCAAATGAATAGCTTTTGTCGCGAGACAAACAAAGACGGCAACATAAATTTTTGAGACCCCTGCTTCCTTAATTTCAAAGGGACCAGCAAAGTCTATTCCACATTGAGCAAATGGTTTTGCGGGTGTTATTTTTTCTCTAGGAAGATCAGCCATGAATTGAGAAGTAGGTTGCTGACTAAATCGGACACATCTCATGCATCTTCTAATGAACTGTCGAACTAGATCACGGCCTCCGATTATCCAAATTTCCTCTCTCATTGTGTTCAGTACTAATTGCCCCCCGCCATGAAGAGTAGGGATACTAAATCAGATTTTTTCGAAACGAGTATTGGAAACTTCTTGTCTGTTGGATAGTTTGATTGTGAAAGTCTGCCTCCAACTCTTAGTAGATCGTAATCCTTGTCGAAAAACGGACTAAGATTGAGTAGTTTCGATGTTTTACTCAGCTCCCTTATCACCTTCAGACAATTTAGCTCTGATTTGAAGTGTATTTCTTGGTCTAAACGAAGAATTAACATTTTTGCCATGATTCTATTTTTAGGACTAAGACAATCTTCTTCAAGTTGTACATCAGATGTCCGCTTAGATCTGAGCCGCTTCCGATAGTTTGTCGATATTCTATGCTAAAGATGTTGAACAAATGATAGTACATAGCATGCGATGCGTACTGTCTTGTTCCAAGTGCTGTGATCCTTTAAACGAAAAATTCCATCCGTCATTTCTTCGTTTTGAGCATGATTTGCGAGAACAGTTCGAATTTGTTCACTTTCTGCATTAGTCTTGGCTTTGACGGTTCGTTTTTCAGGTGCTTCAACTAGAGATGGTAGTAGGTTGGGCCAGTGCCTTTCATCCTTGGTCAGCCAATCTGGTCCATTCCACCAGAGTGAGGAAGATATTAATGTGTCAGCTAATACACCACGAGAGGCTAAATCAGCTGGATTTACTGCTGTTGGCACGTGTTTCCAATCACTTCTGGGTAGGGTCTCTTGTATTTGTGAAACTCTGTTTGCAACAAAAGTGTTCCACGTTCTTGGAAGTTGAGCAAGCCTTTGCAAGACAATTGTTGAATCAGTCCAGGCGTGTGAAGTTATCTTGAGATTTATTTTCCTCAAAATTGAATGAACTGATTTAAGAAATTTGGTAGCTAAACTTGCACCGCAGAGCTCTAATTTGGGAACAGAGATTGCTTTGACCGGAGCAACCTTTGTTTTGGAGGTCAGTAGATACGCAAAAGTTTTGCCATCATCATTGGTAATTTTTGCATAGATTGCGGCTGCATATGCTTTTTCGGAAGCATCACAGACTACGTGAAGTTGAACCTCCTTTCTTGGATGTGAGCTCATAGATCTTGGTATCTGTAGTTCCAGTAGTTAAGGCAAAGTTCCGGTGAGCTCATACCATTTTTCCTTGGATTTCTGATTGACTTCAGAATCCCAATCAAAACCTTGGACCCATAGCTATTGCATGAGACTTTTGAAATTGATGATGAATGGAGCTAGCCATCCCATCGGATCAAACAATTTTGAAATTGTGGACAGAAGAGTCCTCTTTGTAAGCAGTTTTAGCTCTGGTAAGGCAGTTGAAAAACAAAAGATGTCCTTATTGGGCTTCCAACTGACTCCTAGCGCCTTGATTTTGTATTCGTCAGAGAAAAGTTCCAGCACATCCGATTTTTCGCGGAGATGTTCTGGCAATCCTTCAATTATTTTAGCATTGCTTGAAGTCCATTTTCGTAGAGGAAATGCATGAGAGTTCAGCTCTTCGCATAAATCAGAGATGAATCTTTCTGCTTCATGCTTATCATTAGCGCCACCAAGAAAGTCGTCTACATAGAAACAATTTTTGAGACTTTCTTTGATCATTGGGTTCTTAGATTGATCTGCTACTTCATTGAGGCATCTTGTTGACTGGAAAGCTGACGAAGCTATTCCATATGTAACACGTGTCATCCTGAGATGCTTGATTTCATCCGATTTATTTGATCTCCAAAGTATGCGATGGAAATCCTTCGATTTGTCCTCTAGAGCAACTTGTCGGTACATTTTTGCGATATCTGCTGATAAAGCAATTGGGTAGAACCTGAAGCGCATGATTATCGAGTAGAGGTCGTCTTGTACCGTGGAATTAACCATCAAAGTGTCGTTGAGTGATTGTCCGGTTGATGTTGTTGCAGATCCGTCGAAAACTACACGTAGCTTTGTGGTAGTAGAATCTTCCTTGAAAACGCAGTGAAGTGGCAGATAATATACGCTATCAACTGGCTTTTCGATTTCTCCAGGTGGTATGTACTCCATAGGCCCCATATCGAGAAATTCGTCTATGAATGCGGTATAGCGATCTTTTAGTTCTGGATTCTGTTCCAGTCGTCGCTCGAGATAATTGAATCTGCGTTTTGCTTGTGCTAAACTGTCGCCAAGTTGACTATTGGGCTTGAAAGGCAGCTGCACGGTGAATTGTCCATTTTGTACTATGGTTGTTTCCTTAAAGTGAGATTCACATCGATCTTCTTCTGTTGTCGTCTTTTTGAAATCAGGAATTTCTTCTAATTCCCAAAATTTCCTTAGACTATCGCCAATAGACACATGAAATGACTTGAAGAAGGTTGTTGGAGGACCGGGTGTTTTGCCGCTAATCATCCAACCAAATAGAGTCTCACGTGCATAAAGCTTGTCTGTAAGCTTAATCTTTTCGCAGCCAACAATGTCGTTGTAGACATCACAGCCTAGGATTATATCGATTTCCTTTGGTTTATCAAAGTCTGGGTCCGAGAGCTTAAGACGTGTGATATCCAAACTGTTCGGTATATTCATCCGTTCTCTGGGCAGGTAGCCAGAAAGTTTTTGAAGAGTGAAGGCTTCAATATGTAGAGATTGATTCTGAGAATCCTTTGTTTCCAGATTGACAGAACCAGATTTCACAGTTTTTGCTCCTCCGCCAACTCGAGTTATTTGAAGAGTCAATTTCTTGATTGGTAGCTTGAGTCGGTTAGCACAGCTGGTTGTAACGAAACTGCATTCAGATCCGCTGTCCAGTAAGGCTCGACAATTGTGATAACCGCCATTTGCAGTTTTCACCTCAATTAGTACAGTTCCCAGTATGGTAGTAGCACTGGTAGTACCCCCGTGACCCGCAAACTTATTTTCAGGTCCCGGTTGCTTGTTTGGGTCTGTATGGATGTGAAGTAACGAGTGATGACCCTTTCGACAGGTTTGGCACGTTGACTTCGACTTGCACTCATGATTTTGGTGTCCAAGGGACAGGCAATTGAAGCATAATCGCTTTGATTTGGCTTCTTGTCTTCTATTGGAAATAGACATTTCCTGAAATTATGTGCATTGATACACGCGGTGATCACCACTGCAGCATGGGCAGATGATCGTCTTAACAGAGTTTGTGTGGTATGTCTGTACCTTGTCATCTCTCTTAGAGTTTCCAGATTGGTCTGAATTTCCTTGATGATTTTTTCTATGAATTGAAGGTAACTGGAGGTCCTTCGTAGCTTCTAGGGCGCGAGATCGTTCCTCCAAGAACTTCTTCATCTGTTTGATTTTTGGCACGTCACTTCCCGCGCAGGATAGTTCCCATTGTCTTCTAGTTTCAGGATCTAATTTCTAGGCCAAAACGTGAACCCAGATCAAATCGCATTGTTCAATTTTTAGTCCAAGTCCTGTCAGTGTCATCGTGTTTTCCGTGTAGGTATTAATCAAGTGACGTATTGCAGCGGATGACTCATGCTTCATTGGAGTGAATTCAAAAATTGCTTCCAAGTGAGCGTGTGAGATCATCTTGACATCAGCATATCGATCCTTTAGAAGTTCCCTTGCGACTGAGTAGTTCGCGTTTGTAGTAGGCAAGTAGGATAGCAAACGAAACGGTTCATCCTTGAGGGCACCCTTTAGGTATTGCAGTTTCTGAACATCAGACAGCGCTGTATTTGAGTGAACTGCTCCATCAAAGGAATCTAAGAAAGGTAGCCATTGATCATACCTTCCGCTAAATGTTGGCGAATTCAGTTTCGGCAACTTCAGGCAAGTATCTTGGTTTCGGCCAGCACCACGTTGGGAAGTGGATTTGTAGGATCCTGTTCCGCTTGCGCTGTCTTCATCTTTGACCGATTCAGTTGAATTTTTTCCTCGGTCATCTAACATAGTTGTGATCATTTACATCAAACAATCTACTTGAAGGTAGATTTTCTCAGCTTCTTCCAATTCAACTTCAACTGCATCTTCATCATCGTTTAGAACATTTGAAATTTGCTGATTAAGCTCTTCCAGTTCCTTTTTTTTGTTCGCACATCGTGAGATTGGCCTTGAGAGTTCCAATTTCCTTGTAGGTTAGAGCAGATGCCTCTTTGTTGAAGATTGCTGAGACGGCATTTTCCGATCGGGTAATGACACCGATGTTAGCACTTCTTGATCGCTTCAAAGCAGGAAGAGTGAGCGTCACGTTGCTCATGTCACTAGCAGGTGATGACATTTTTAACTTTCCTCTTTGTTTCTAATCTTTGGTTCGTTCGTGAGTCGCGTTGCACCAAAAATGTTGTGCAGCAAAAGTTGGGAAACGAAAAATCACCAATCCGACTGAATAAAACTAGTGATTCGCAAAGAGTGTAAATTATTTCATGAGTTATAGATAGAAGTCAATTGATTTTTGTTAAATGCGGTTTTAAATAAGTAAATCAGTTCAATCGTAGATTTAGTTCAAGTAGAAAGCTGAGATGTCTTTTTTAGGCTTCAACAAACGCTTATCAAACTTGCCGATATTGGTTTAAAAAACGCGAAATATAACAAATAATTCCTCGTTATTTTTAATGTGAACAGCTACCTGTAACGATAATATTTTTTATTAAAGATAATTTTTGAAATTTTAAAATTATCAGCAGATGCCCGCTGTAGAATGATAATAAAGCTGGAATCGCCCAAGAAGTGTTTCGGTTAGACATAATTTATTGCGCAAAAGATCTATGAACAGCTTTCTGGCCTGTCTAATCAAAGTACCTTTTTCATATTACCCCTCATTCCAGACTGAGTTTTATGAGCGACATTTTTTTTGCGCGACTCGGCCGTTTTTTGTGTACTTTCAAGAACTTTCTTCTAGTATCTCTATGCCAGCCGAAGTTGTCAGTCGGTGAAAGACCTGAAGCTAGAGGTCAAATGAGAGCTCGTCTTCAGTTACTCTCATTGCCATGGAATGGGTCACTTACACTATCCGACGTTCTAAACGTGAACGCGTTTCTACTATGCTAAGTTCCTCTCACCGCTTACTAGAAAACATTTAATACTTGGATTGATAACACTTGCTAATTGCAAGAGTACTTAATGTCAATCATGATTTGAATCTCAGAAAAGTTACTTCGAGTTTTGACTTGGGTTTTCGCTCACTCAAATGTTTGTTTTTGAATCCGAGTTTTTGGAAAAACAAACCAAAAACATTATTTATAGTTCTGTAAATAGTATATAGGAACCTCTTTTAAGAGAAAAGATACTGCTTTCTCGACTCACTTCATTTGTTTAAAGTGATATATTCAAGTTGCAGGAAAGTCTTTCAATTTCTGGTCCAGTAGCGTGCAGAAGTGTGGGGGCTGGGGTGGGGGGAGCAACCATTCCTCTTTCAAATCCAGTTGCTAAACTTCTTCAAAGGTTCTTTCCTTTTGTACTATGTTGCCAAACTTAATTGTTGTCGACCAACCTTAAAGATTTTCCAAAGGCGCCTTTGGCACCAATACAAACTTAATTTGTTGGGGAGCGCGCGCCGAAAAAACCTATTTTTTTACCCACACGTTTCAAAAGTTTCCCTGCAATGTCATTTCTGGCCTGTTTTTTTTTTGTGTTGAAAAAAAAACTTTTTTACGGCGTGGATTTATTTGTCCAAATAGCATTTTCATAGAGTTTTAGCGGAGCTCAGAAAGTTGATTTGGTGGAACTAAAAGAAAAGGTTGATAACATCTGCGAAACACCACCACTAAAAAATTTGACACAGCACTGGCACGATTTTCATTTAAAACAAGAAAAATTTGTGGTTTTTCATGGAATCACGACGGAAAGAGCTTAAATGTGCTGCCCGAAGCTCGACATTTATATACGACATTAATTTTTTGTGGTAAAAATACAAAGCTTCCATCTGATGTTGTAGTTCGAATAATAAATTTGAATGGTTTGTTTTCCGCCCTTGCTTATGTTTTATTTTGAGAAAGCTGTTTTCGGGAAAAAAAGGGATACAAATTTGAGAGTCGCTGTTTTTTTTGTTCAATGTCAGTTTGTTAGAATTTTCCTTTTTGAAGTTATTTCGCAATGGTGTTTGTGCTGGAAGCGTTTTCTATAGTTGCGTTAATATTGACATGCCATCTGTGCGACTATAAGTTGCTGTCATGTTGCGTCATCGAAGGAATGAACACTAAAACTGTATGCGTTTCTTTTTTACCATTTTTATATCCTTTTTTTGCCATTGATAAGCTTAATTCTACATTTTATTTAAGCGCTTTGAAAGTTTGCTAACTTCCTTGTTTTCATAAAATTTTTGTATGTTTACACTATAACCGATCTATAAACTACAAACTATACTGAGAACTATGTCTATAAACGGACCGGAGTTCGAATACTGGCAGAATAAAAAGCCTCGATACATCAATTTGAAACGACAATCTAAAGTACATGTTGATTTTAAAAACCTTACCACGTCTGTTTCTGAGCCGGATTCGAACCGCAGTGTGGTGATTGTCGAGACTTCAAATGGGAGACTGTTTGAATTAGAGTGCACAGAGGTGAACAGGGTGCAAGAACTGTTTGATGTGGTTGTGCAGCAGTTGAATGTAGTCGAGCATTTTTATTTTGGCCTCGCGTGGGTTAATGAGAAGGACGAGTATCTCTTCTTGAATCTCAAACACACACTCAAGGTGAGTTCTAATTGCGTTCGATCAGCGGACAAACATCTGAGTAATTGCGAGCCCAATTTTTGTGCTTAAGGTTACAGAATAGGTTTTTTTGAGCGTTGATTTTGGGTTAAGCTTCGATGACCTTTCTACTCTGAAGAGCCAATTTTTAAGATGAAATCAATCAAAAAGATGAAATTTTGCTCGTCTGAACTAAATTAGTTTTTGGGAGATAATGCGCTTCTGACGCAGAGTCTTGATTTTTTGTTGATCTTTTGTTTGGAAACTCAAAATTGTATCAGAATTCCATGATTCGGTATTAGAACAGATTATGCAGACTAATATCCTTACTTTACTATGTTTCCGTGGACACTTAACAAGAACAGGAGAGATAAAGTTAACTTCGAGGAATTAAACAGCATTTCAAAGGTTAACTTGAAGGAATGAGATAATATTTCAGGAGGTGGCACCTAAAGAATGGCTGTCAGGCAGTGTGCCCTCTTTCAAGCTCCATTTCCTCCTCAAATTCTACCCCTCAACTAACTCTCCATCTGCAGTAGAAAAGACAGATGGAGAGGAGTGCATTAAGAGTGAGTGCACTAAGCATCTGTTGTACTGGCAGACTAGAAGGGACATTGTGAGTGAGAGACTCGACTGTTCCGAGGTGGATTCGATCCTCTTCGGGGCTATCGCTCTCCAGGCAGAGTACGGCGACTACACTGGACACACTGCAGACAACACAAACGTCAGTCTTTTTTGATCTGTTTACAACTTATTTGTTCATCATTGCCATTTGAAACTGTCTAACATTAGCAGGCAAGTCCCATCTTTATTGACCGCCACTCCCTCCTAATTTTTGCATGACCCTTTTTTCTGTTTTACTCACCCATTTTAAGCTGTTTAATGCTTCAAAAAATTCGGGCTTTAAGTATCATACCTCATACGTCTGTTTAGATACGAAGTTATGTTTCTGAGAGCATCGTTGAGTGGTTCGGAGAGGACGAACTGGTATCCGAACTATGCCGAGTGCACAGAAACTATTTCGGCTACGAGAGATCGGAGGCACAGAGTCTCCTGATACGAGAAGCTGCCAAACTTCCCGACTTCGGCTGCTTCTACTATCAACTTGGCGATGGAAACGAAGCTAACTTAGTCGCTGTGTCTTCTTCGGGACTTCTCGGAATTCTGGCGAATGAAAGCGATTGGGAGCGAAAAATTGTTTTCACGCACGACTGGAACGAAGTCTTAAGTGGAAGTTTGGCCGACGGGGAAGTGACATTTTCAATTAAGTCATCGGAGAATAACAAATTACGGTTGAATTTCAGATCTGATCTTTTCAAGGCTCTTTATTTTAGCCAACTGTGTAATGTATTATTCAAACTAAACCGCGCGATCAAAATTCAGAGAAGTGAAGCGGAAACTAGTGAGAAAATGCGGATGACATTTTCAGTCGGGAGTCTCTTCGGGTCTTTAGATGAAAAATTTGCTTCATTCAACGAAAAGAAAAGAATCAGATTATATTTATCCGGAAGAAACGATACAATTTACGAAAATGCAACACTTAAAAATGACAATAACATTGAAGAAAAATCAAGAAAAGGCAATTTTGAAACAGACACAAAAGAAACTACTCAATCACCAAAAACACTTAGATCGCCTCCAAGTTCAAATCAAAATGGAACGGTACGCAGAGTTGAAACCATTCATCTGGAGTCAATTGGCAACATTACAAATTGTTTAACACTCAAACATGGCAAAAGTGACAAATCAATTTACATTGACAGAGTTCTTCCAGGTTGTGAGATTTCGAGTCAAAATGGTAAAGGGGTTGTCGTGCCTGAAGACAGGGTTCTTGCCATCAATGGTATGAGCTTAGAAGAGTCAAATTTGACTGAAGCTAGAAATTTGATTGCAATTTCTGGTTCCAAAGTTGAACTCATAGTATCTCGCTTTCAAAAAGCCGAAGGTCAATTCTTAGAGAACGAAAATATATCTGTGAAAAGGAGAATAAAACGTGGTGAAAGTATTGCATTTGACTTTGAGTTTATGGATTCGGGATCAGAAAAAGGGGACAAAGGCGGCAATGTCTCACCCGAAAAACAAGAAGAACAAGATGGTTCTCCCAAAAGTTACCTGTCATTGAACAATAGCTCAACTAAAGACGAAGTTTTTCTATCACCTTTGGAGACTTCACCGAACAATCAAGTTTCTTCATCATCGCCAGGTAACAAGATCAATCAAGTCAATCATGGAGACTACTTCAAAGTTGACCTTGGTCGCATTAATGGTGCATTAGGAGTTGTTCTATGTGACAATCACTCTCGAAATGGCGTCTTTGTGAGAAGTTTGACAGCCAATGGATCTGCCGATTTAGACGGGCAAATAAAACCAGGTGATCGGGTGTGTAAGATACATGGAAATTCAGTTGACAATATAGACGCAAAAGAAACGGTTACACTTCTGCGAAGCGCTCCTCAAGTTGTGAGAATTGAGTTGCAACGATGGATGTTGCCTATCAATGAGTACCAGCCAAGACCTCCTCCTAGTTATGACTCGTTTGTAAACAAAAACAACACTTTCTTCGTGACTTTGACAAAAGAGGAATCGAGAGGTGATGAGGATGTTGATTCTTTGGGATTCACTGCTTCCGGGTTTGCTGACGTGCCTTGCGGAACATCCGAGGAATTAATTCCAAGAATTCGTCAGCTTCAACTGGGAGGACCGGCTCAAAGAGTTGGCGTGATTAGAAATGGTGACGTTATTTTAGGTGTAAACGGTTTTCCGATGAAAAACCGGCCATATGATGATTTTGTTCACACAGTGCGCGCATCAAAAAGAAACGTCTGTCTTGAACTATGCCGACCTTTGCCGGGAGTTTTAATACATACTTCAAAATGTCATGTTAGAAACCAAGCTAAGGAAACGAAGCAAAATCCAAGCAATCAGAATAAAACCACCGCAAATCTCAGGAACTTAGAAATTCCAAATTTTCATGAAGTTCACGAAGAGTCACAAATTCTTCAGATGAGCGTCCAGCTTCATAAATTGGCTGATGAAAGCATGGGAATTGTTTTCAAATCATTGAACAGAGAAAAACAAGAACGAGACTTTGCAATTGTTAAACGTATAACACCAGGTAGCTTAGCCGATATTCAAAGTGATTTGAGACCTGGCGACTTGATTAGTGAGTTACGTTTTGACAGTCCTAGTTTTACAGTCAACGGATCCAAGTGTGATTTCTTAAACAACAGCGGGACTATGAAGCTCATCAAGCAGTCTGAAGGAACTGTTCAGTTAGATATTCTCCGGAAAGGGGAGCAGTTTGAACACTTGGAGAGTTGTTCACTTCAGAAGCTAGTTTGTTCATGTCTGCTTGAACGAGTTTCGGATATTGAATCAGTGAAAAACGGAGGTTTTTCACGTTGGCCAGTCGTCCAATCGAGAGCTTCGGATTATGAGAGAACGAAACCCGACTGTTTGGTAATTCAGAAAAGAGGTATAGAGAAACCCTTGTTCAAAGTCAAAGGTCAGTTCTAGTCATACTTTTCTGAAAGTTTAAACTATGGTTCAACGCAGGGGCGGATTTAGGGGGGGAGGGGTGACGCCTTTTTCTCAGAGATTCGAACCCCTACCAATCCAAAAGGTCCGCCTTTGTACTATTTGGAGGTATCAACTTTTGGCGATGGGTCCTAAAAAACTTCTAAAGGCGCCTTTGGCGCCAATATATTCTAAATTTAAAGGGGGAGCGCGCCGAAAAAAAAAACATTTTTTTGGTCTGTTTTTTCAAAATTTTGCCTGCGGCGCAGGATAATTTGGCCAAAACAAGGTCTGCTTAGTGCTTTGGGATAGCTCGGACAATGGAAAATCAATTTTGTTGACCTGAAAAAAGTCCAGAAACTTTTTTGAAAATCTGCCCCCTCGAGAAAATCCTAGACCCGCTCCTGGTTAAACTTTTTTTTAAAATCTTTTTTGCCTACAAAAAGCAATAGCCATATCGGAACTCAAAACTTGTCACGACAAAAGTTTTGTTTGTGACTCAATGAGAGTTTACCCAGCTTTTGTTGGCTTAGTTGCAGCTCATTGAAAGTTTCTGATGATTTTTTTAATGCCGAAAATTTTACTACTGGACGGATTTTTCTCAAATTAAACATCATTCGAGACAAATTTATGAAATTTTTGTAATTGTGGTTTTTGTAATTGTTTAACTTATAGGCTATCGTTTCATCGTTTGGCTGCTAGGTGGAAATGCTATGTTTGTGTGGTGTTTCAAGTGGTGAGCTTCTGTGTCGAAATTGGAAGTATGAAAAAATCAAAAAACCTATCTTGCATTTTTGAAAAAAATGACCAAGAAAACGAAAACAAAATTAAAAAAATCAAAGTTTTTTTGAACTTTTGAAGTTATTGATTACAAAAAAGCGCTAAAAACTCAAACAAAACTAATGTTCTTTGGGTAAAACTAACTTTTCACCTCATAACCTATAGATTGTAAGCTTTTAAGCCGTTTAAAAAAGCTATTATAAGCCTGCTGGCTCGCTTTATTTGCTCGAATTAAGACTTAATACCAAAAATTTCAAACAGTGTGAAATTCTTAATGTCGTTCGACTTACGACTGTATTTTTAATGTCGTTCGAATCACGACTGTAAGGGCTTTCATATGTTATATCACTCAACTCTCTCCGATGTTTATTTTTAGATAATTTTGCGTGGAAAACAAAAATAAGAAAAAAATTAACCACACCCGAATACAAAGTTCCTCCCAATTTTTCAAATGAATGGAGCAAAATGACAAACAACAAACAAAATTTGTTCGGAAAATAATTCTGTTCGGTCAGTTGTAAGATTCTGTCAGTTGTAAGATTCTGATAAAAAATGTTGTTTTAAAACTTAGGTGCGACTCACTACATAGGAGGAAATCTCGCCCGAAAAGTTCGAGATACAAAAAACTCAGTTCTGTCCAATGAGTGGAAAGTTCAGTTTGAAGAGATGAACCTTGCAACTATGCAATCCAACGGTTCAAGCGACTATCCAAACATTGAATCAAAAGAGGACTTCTTGCTGATTGATTACTATTTCCCTCTGCAAACCGCTCCATCGTCTTACATTTTGGATGAGAGTCCTACTGATCAGAATATTCTAGACTTCTTGAACATCATCTGGAAACAGGACGTCAAAGTGATTGTTACTTTTGACGAAACAGGTCTCCTAACATATGTTCCAGAAAGTCTAGGCGAGCAATTAACATTTGACGATTTTGTAATTTATTTGAAACAATCGGAGGAATCTCAAATTTCCAGCTACAAAAAGTTGCAAATCAAGCGAAGACAATCAGGCAGCTCAACTGAAGTGCAAATTTTGACCTTGAAAAATTGGAGTTCCGAACATGTTGAAATGATGCCAGCTACTTCAGAAATTATCCAATTTGTCAACTTAGCCCGGATGTTATTGCAACGCTGCGAACAAAGCTCTACATTTCTGGCTGTTTCAGCTGATATTGACAATCAAGCGTCTGTAATTACAATACTACATGTTTTATTGCGCACTGTTGAACTAGACCATGAAGTAGATTTGCCCAAAGTAGTGGGCAACTTCAGAGAATATCGTCCTTCTATATTGTGGAAGGAAGAAATGTTTAAATTTTTGTACTTGTGTTATATTGCACTGCTTGAATCAATTGAATCCTAAATAGATCAATTAAAAAGATTTATTTTTTTTGATTTTTAGCTTATTTTTAATTGTCATTGAAATCATCGAGATTTATATTATTGACAATTTGTTTTAGTTAAGATGAATAACATACTGTTGAACTAGTTTTATTTTTCCGACTTTCGAAGAAAAATGCTCGGTGTGGTTTTTTATTCAGTCAATTTTCACCGATCTAAGTAATAGTTTTTGACTAAAATTTTTAAAATTCCATTGATGATATCAACTTCTTGAGTTCAAATATTAAAAAATATTTTACCTCCGATTGGTTTCTGTAAAGTTCTGGGGGCTTGAATATTGCCAAAATTAATCATGTTCTGGACTAAATTATGCGCGCGTAACGCGAATTTTTTTATGCCTGGCGAAATATCCCGTACTACAAAATTGTTCCAAATCGAGCTGAGGCTAGCTGATCAGATCGGTCGTTTTAATTTTGTACGACTCAACATTTCACACTTTGATATTGTCCAAAATTTATAGGTTTTGAATATTTTTTTTCCTGAAAACTATTCGATATGAATTAAGGGATATTCGGAACACTCACGGCTTTGCCCTGATACGCGAGCAGTTTTGTTCTAGATTTACTGCGCTTTGTTGAACTAAAGAATGGAAAAGATTTGCTAAAAATAGTGGACAGCTTCCGAGACAACCGTTCGTCGATATGGTGGAGGGTAGATACTTTTAAACTTTTGTTCATGGGTTATATTTCACTGCTTGAATCAACTGAATCCTAAAAAGATCAACTTAAAATTATATATAATTTTTCAATTTTTGGTTTTCTTTTATTCGTCATTCAAATCATCAAAACTTATATTATATATAATAATATTTATACATTGAAAAATTTTATTCACCTAAAATTTTTCTAAAAGCGCCTTTGTTGCCAATATATACAAATTTTGAAGGCGAGCGCGGGTCAAAAACCGCGTTTTTGGTCAAATTTTACAAGAAGTGCCCAAAAACGAGTTTTTTTGTGCTCTCGGAATATCAGTTTGATTGACCTGAAAAAAGGCGACAAAACGTTTTCAAAAAAAATTGAAAACCCGTCCCCCTCGAGGAAATCCTAGGTCCGCTTTTTTGACATTTTGTTCTTGTTAAGTTTAACAACCAGAATAGCATGAGACGACTAGTCATCGAAATCGACAATTCGCACTTTTTTGAAAAACAAGACGGCGGGAACGAGTTATATGGTGGTACTGCTAAACTAGACAATGAGGTAGATTTGCCAAAAACAATGGAGAACTTTCGGGAATACCGTCTGTGTACGTGTGTCATATTGCACAGCTTGAATCAATTGAACTTTGAAAAGAGACACTTTTTTTCAAATTTTTGACCTACCTTTAATTGTCATTATAGTCATCAAGATCCACATTTTTTTTTGTTCTAGTTATCATGAATAACTAGAATAGCATTAGGCGACTACTCATCGATAGAGACAGTTCGAACAATTTCTAAAAACAAGACGGGTAGCCCGAAATTATCAGTCTATAGATAGTACATTTTTACCAGAAACAGAACAATTTTACCAGAAAAATTTCCAATTCTCCAGCCGATCGTAAAATAAGTGAATTTAGAAGATAATTGTTTGATCATTTGAAAAATGTGGAGAAATTTCGTTTTCATGTGTGTTTTTTTTCTTGTGTTCCAAAATCAGATCTATAAGTAATCTTCGGAATGGGTCAAGTTCTTTATCATTATTACGCTGTTTCAGTCTTAATTCGAACGACTTTTAAAAACTTTTTTCACAATGTCGAAAAAAACCGTCGGAGTTGGTTGATTTTTTTGTCTATTTTAGAGCTAATAAGGTTTGTCAAACTAAGGTTTGCAGGCATACAGAAGCTTATTATGATTTCAAAAATTCGATAATATTCTGAAAAATCATAGAAAACTTCTTCATTTTAGTACGATTTTTTTGGCCTATTTTACTATAATTGTAGAATATGCTTACGGTAAATTTTCTTTCAGATTTTTTCTATTAGACCAAGCTGCACAAACGACACTATTTTGAATTTTTTTTTATTTTTTAACACTTTGGTTGGAACATTCTGTGCTATTTGCACAGTCACTGGCATTTTTTGCATTTAAACGATTAGATCAGCAAATTTTTTGATAAGAATAAAGTTAACGCGAAATCAATTAGTGTATAACGACATTAAAATTATCATAAAAGCTTACTTTCATGTATTAATCGAAAACTATATCATATTTTTTAAATGCCTTTGTGACATTTATAGGCTGATTTGCGGTTAGAAAATTAGTGTGTTTACTTTTAAACAATTTTCATGCAATATGCACTTAAACTATCATCTAAATTTAGTTATTTTTAGATCGTCTAATTTACTTTTGTTTAATTTCTCAACCCCTGGGTATTCTAAAAGTGTGATGGAAATTGTTAAACATCATGCTTGTCTAATGAGAAAGTAAGATTTTGTAACACGTGCTCGAAGAAAAATGGAAAATAATAAATTTTGAGAGAACACAAAGTGTTTTAAAATGCAAAAGGGTTAAGCATGCCTTCAGATCCAAAATTGCCCCTCTTACGTGAAGCTCGGTTCAAAGTTGCGCTCTACCAATGGCCATTTGTTAAAGAATGATATCATTTTTCAATTATTTGTCGTTTTTTAGGAATTGTCGCCTATAAAAAGCAAAAAAGCCTCTATAAAAAGAACGATATCAGTTTTCAACCAGTTGTCGTTCTTAAGAAATTGTCGTGTCACTTATAAAAAGCAAAAAAGTTTGTTGCTGTATAAAAACATTTAATTAGGTTTTATTTAAAACTACAATTTTGTCAATTAATATAGCAAAAATTTGGACCTTCTGCAATAAATAAAAATTCTTCTGAGATACATATATTTGCGCGGAAAAAGTCAGCGTTTTCTTTGCATTCACACCGTTTGACTGTGTCAAAAAAGAACAGTCGATCAGTTTGCTTACAAGCAGATATCGGTATTTTAATTTCTGCCGTATAGAAAGTTGCTAGCAAATCTGTAACGCATATGTGCCCCAACAATAACCTGACGGAAACTTTTGAATTTTTATGGAACTTCTGAATCTACACTAGTCGACAAAATTAAGCGCAAATTCAAAAAAAATTTCTGTAAAATGCCTGTTTTCAATGTGCATTTTTGGTAACACTTCCTTCGAAATTCAATAAAATTTTTACATCGACCAAGAGCAAATGATCAGAGCTACCATCTATGAAATTATCAATAATTGGTTTCAATGACTTACCAATGTAACCCGGGTCTGAAAATGCTAGTTTTCCTAATCTGCTCTCAATTTTTGACAAAATTAAGAAAGATCCGAGTTTAGTGAAGTTTCTACGCTGATTGTTTCCATTTTCTTGCTGAGAATTTTTCACGCCGCATGAAAAAACTTTTTACTCCGCTTATTCAAGAAAGTTTTCACAACGATGCAAAACTTAGTGCAGATGAGGAAAACTGGAATTTTCAGACCCGGGTTACATTGGTAGGTCATTGAAACCAAATTTGATACTTTCGAAGATGGTAGCTCTGACCCTTTGCTCTTGGTCAAGGTAAAAATTTTCGAAGGAAATTTTGTCCAAAATATACATTGAAAACAGGCATATTACAGAGTAAAGTCCTGGATTTGCGCTTAATTTTGTCCACCAGTGAAAATTTTATTTCGATGCGCAAAATAACTTCAAGCCAAAACTCGATAGTCAGAGCAATACATTCAAATGCTGCTCGAAAAAATTCCGCCGATTTTTGTTTATAATTGTTAATTTTGAAACATCGACATTGAAACTCTCAGAGTCATTATTTTTGATTAAAACCATCTGAAAATTTTGCGTGTTTAAATCTGCCTCACGTTGCACAGCCGTAATGTCATCCATCTATTTCTAAAATATTAAATGGCGTCTCAATAGACAAATGTTCAAAAAATTCTTTTGTTGACATGAGAAAATGCTAAAACAGTTCAACGACGTTAAAAATTTTCTCTGATGTCAATACTTAAAATGTTCTAAGGAATTGTGAATTAAGTCTTCAACGGAAAAATGGATGCTTACTTCCACGGTCATCCACGATTTTTTTGTACATCTGTTGGCTCGCGAAAGGTAAAATCCTACAATTTATGTTGGATAATGCCTTTCGTTTTCCAAACATGACTATTCATTTTCATTTACATTCCAAAACATTGCTTTTCTGTCTTTTAGAATCATACAATGGGGTTTTCACCTTACAGTGGGAGTTTTTCACAGTACAAAAAGGGGTTACGACTTCGGCCAATAAATTGGGCCTTTCAAATCCTATTAGCTTACCGATTTTGACAGTTTCTAAAATTCTTCCAAAAATGTTTAAAAAATTAAATTTGAAAAAATTTACGAAATGCGAAGTTTTCAACTTTTGTATGACTTGATGTCAGGGTATTTCCAGTGATTGCAGAAGTGGCCTCAGAACATGACAACCCAAAGCCGTTCAGATTTCAAGATAAGACAATTTTGAAAAAAAAAATTCGACAAAATTTCGAAGTTTTGGTTGTAGGAGAAAACTTCACTATATTTAATAATGTAGTTCATATGGTAAGTTCCTATCAAGGTAATCCTAGAGCTTGCAAAATAGCCGCATTTTTTGTATTCTGAACCATTTTACCAGTTTGTAAAATTTGTAACTTTCAAAGTTTTTTGAAACTTGTTAGGAAGTACTCAACTTTTTTCAAAGTTTCACAACAACAAACATTCTCGATGCATCGGTTTGGTTCTGTATTTAACTTTATAATTCTGGTCGATTTGTTTCTATAATTTTAGTTGCAAATTTGGCTCCCACATTCAAATGCTTGAAAAATTTACCTTCACTTTCATCAAATAAATTTTTGATTCTACAAAAATTATTCTCTGTAAAACTTAAATTCTAGGTGCATTTGGCGGCCTCCTTAGGGTCTTACTTCTGATTATTGAAATAAAATTAAAATTTTCAAACTTTTGTTAAATATATCGATTTGTGGCTGTTGCATTGCATGCCCTCAGTTTTTTGTAGCGGTTCCAATAAATTTTATTCCATTTTATATTTAATAGAAATCATTTTCAACGTTCTAAAATCTGAGAAAGAAGACAGCTTCTAGTGCAAGAAGTGTTGTGGGATGTGTCTCAGTTCCAATGATTTTCACATCCGCGATTGTTGTCTTCGACTTTCCGCAAGCGACAAAATGGTCTCCAACAGGCGTGCCTTTGCAACCGTGCTCAGTAATCCGCGTACACAGGTGTCGGTTTGTTTGATGTTGTTGTAGTTACCTCGTCAGGTAGCAGCGCATAAGTATTCGTCATTTTCGTCATATTTCGTTTCAAATGGTCTTCGTTTTCGTTTGAAATGGTTAGTTCGTAAATTCAGTACTTTTTGCGAGAAAGCTGATTTCTTAGCTGGATTATTTTTCAGTACTTCCAGTGGAAGGTTGTTATTTTGGCCGTCTCTTTCAATTCTCACACTGCGGCCTCCGCTGGGGTCCCTCTGGGTAGAAGTGGCCCCCGATTCCAGTAACTGAGACGTCTAGTGATTCTGGTAGCGGCACCCGTTTTGGTGAATTATCAGGCCGTAAAACGGAAAAGAGAAAGCAAAGCGATGGTTGTGGTGTCTAATTTCGTCTTTACAATATCCATGGAACACCAGACAGAAGAACAGTTTTGTTATCATAGCCGAGACTATGAGCCAGTGTTGGGTCGACACTGGCCAGAAAAACGAGATCAAGTGATCTGCTTGAAGGCTGATCCAACCTGAGGAAGGAGACAGGATTGAAGCAGAGTCACAGAGTAGTGAGTGTAGTATGGCTGTGGGACAATGAAAGGGGTGGTTGGTATCGTGTGGGGTGTTGAAGCACTTTGAACATTCGCTTGGGACACTTGGGTCAAGTCTGTTGAGGTCAGAATGAAGAAGGGGGGAGTAGCCGGAGCGTAAATGAAGTATACTGGACCGAGCCTCGCGACTCAATGATAGTTCAGTTGAGATAAGTATGGGTTTTCGGTGGGTATTTTAGGTATGGCGACAATTTCAGTATAGTTGGAAAGCGCCCGTGCGTACAATTGAGTCATAACTAGGAAGAGGTCATGGCTGGTACTCATTGATAGCCAACATCCGTCGCTGCAACTCAATTCTCACAACTTGAGGAGCGATTCGCAGAAATGTAACCGTTTCTTTTGCGCGGAATACTTTATTTATTTGGATTACTTTGTGTATATGGAGTTTGGTCCCCTTGTCAATTTATTGGTTGGAATCAATCAAGTCATTCAGGGGACCCGAATTGTTGCTTTGAAAGAGGGTTTATTTGTCTTACTGGTGGTAGTAATGATTTTTGTGCTTCCGGGGTGTTTTTGCAGATAAAAACTTGCAAAGTAGTCGGAAGAGAGTGGATTCATGTGTTGTATTAACGAAAGGATGAGATATTCAGTATGTAGGAGTTCGATTTTTGCCATTTTAGTGCAATCAGTTACTGTGCGGAGGGCGGCGTTTTGTACAGTTTGTATTCTTTGGATGGAGTTAGTGCTTGCTGCGTGTGACCACACTGGGGCAGCGTATTCTACGACTGGTTCAATCATATCTTTGTGCGTACTTAGAAACGTTTTTCTTTTTTGGCCCCAGTTGGTGGCGCATAGCGCTTTCAGTACTAATCTACGCTTTTTGCCTTTAGTAGCTTGAGTCTTGCAGTATAGTGAGTGTTGCATGATTGAGTCTAAGTTGAGTCCTTGAATTTTGAGGCGGTGGTCTAGTGGGAGCCGAGTGTTCTGGTTTTTGTTTTGTTGGTGAATCTTGTAGTCGAGACTGTTGAAGAAGGTGTAGATAGAGTCTATGTAGGCGGAGAGACAGGAAGATAGAAATTTGATGTTGGTGCCTTGGTCGTACACATTGAAGTCGTCCGCGTAGCATATAATGGATATATTTTTGGATGGATAAGGGGAGTCGTGAACATAGTAGTTGAAAAGTGTTGGGGATATGACTGAACACCGTGGTCTGTTCTCGCTGTGGAGAGATGTTCTCTCAATAGGGAGCTGGCCTGCATACTTCTCAGGTAGTTGCTTAGCCAGCGGTTTGTTTGATCGACATTTGCCTCTCAACAAGAACAATTGATTTCATAAACAAGATGGCAGAGTCGTTTTCAGCCTCCTGACTCGGTTTTTAGTTTCTGTGTGGTGAAATAGACATAGCAATTTCAAAATGCTTTCTTTCAGGTTTTTAGCAAAGGTATCATTGATGCATTCACGATATTCATGGTTGAAAGAAAAGGTAGCTCTATTGGTCGCTTTAGTCTTGTTTCAAGTGGGATCACTTTTTGTTCTGCTGAAAATTTTGGTGAGTGTAGCATTAGTAACGGTCTGAAGAAGCATTTTCGGATATTGGTCAGCGCGTAAAATAGCTTGCGTTTTTAATATGCCAGCATAACGGCATGTGCCCCAGGAGCTACTTTTACTGAAATCCTGCGCACAAAACCTGATGGTATACGAGATATATAGATACTTGGTGCAACCGCCTGAAAATTCATTACTGGCGCAACCGCCGTGTCAGTTTTCTTCTCAATCGCATCTCTTCTCAATTGCATGTCAACGAAATCAAAACATTCACTTGGATCTTCCACTTTCAAAGTTAGCTTCAAATTGGAATGCATTGTGTTATTAAATTAGTTCGCTATACCCGCGGCAGAGCCTGAGTCCGGTTGCCGTAATTTTCACTTCTTTGCTGCGGGTTGGTGCCACCCTCCCCGTGACAGTCTGCACTGCTGAGCTCTCTATTTCTTGCCTATACTCCAACATTAATGAGGATAGACTATCTAAAACTTGCGTCAAACGTTTCTGTCAGACCTTTTTTCAATCCTCCCTCATGAAAATTCTGCAACCACCCGCTCAATATAAGATCCTCCTCAGCATTTGTTTAGTCCAGTCAAAATTGACGTTTTTGCGTTATCGCACAGCAAGCAAAATAATATCTTAATTACTTAGAAACACTATGTTAATGGAGCTACAATTTTATGCTCTCTGCATTTTTTTTGCTGATTTTTTTTTAACAAATACAAGGGCAAAAGTTGCAGTTGAATATCAAGTGGAAACGATATTCTTTCTCAAGTCGAAGAATCAAGTTATATGATTTTCGTTGAGAACATTAATTGCTGACTGAAAGTTTTACTCCCAGAAAAAAACTAAAACTTTGTAGCCAAAAACGATACCAAAAAAGATTTTTATAGAAGGAGTTCAGATCATTTGCTCCGGTCAATTTTGTTCATTTTGTTTTTTTTAGATAAAAAATTTGCCCAAATTTGTTCTTGAAAATAAACATTTTCGAAAGTAAAAGCTTATATTTGCGTTTAGTTTTGTCTACTATTGTAAAAAGTCCGGCATCAAAGTCCGGTGAGATGGAATTCTGACAATCAGAAAAATAGCCAGTCTCTTTTTTGTTTTCCCACACCTGCGAATTTTATTTGCGTTGTCCGATTGGTTGAAAGTTGACATGCAGACTAACCAAGCCATGACAAGCATATTTGGTATTCATACTTAACCCAGAAAAAAAACGATGATCATACGGAGTGGAAGAGAAGGAAAAAGAGCGTTTTTTCTGCAAAACTCATATCATTAATTTCGTTTTTAGTACCTACGCTTCACAGGTTTTGCAAATTTTTCACCTTCAATCGTTTATTTTTAATAACCAAAAAAGAGCACGTGCTATTTTTTACATGCAGTGTTCATGTTTGCATCAGATATGACTAATTCTCTTCATTCAATAAACTACAGCACGTTTTATTTGTAGCTTTCTCAATTTTTAAATTGATCAGATGAATTGAGATTACACAACAAGCGAATTTTGATTTTACGTTTCAGAATGGCGCCGCCCATAACCGACTGGAAGCGACCTTCCACGACTCGGAGGAACATCAAAGTGGAAAACTTTGACATATTTGAGAGCTGCTCCAGATTGCGTCGAGTGCGGAACCTCCTGGGCGACGGAACTCCTCTGCGACTAGACGGAATCCTGCTGATCCTAGGAGTCGACAGCAAACACAGCTACGCAATGCGGGAATTGGCCAACTACTTGTTCTTCGGTTTTTTCGACCTCCGAGAATCAGAATACGAATCAGAAGGTTACGATGATTTTGTGGTTGAAGATTTGATAATTCTCATTATGAAAGAGGTTGTCCACGTTTATACGAACCCGATCAACTACCGTTATTTCGAACCATATATGGCAGCCTGGAGGGGCTTACGCGTTTGGTGCCTGTCGGATCAGTTCTACGAACAAGAGGACCTCTCGGAAGACTTCAAGATCAGAAGCTTCGTGTCGATGATGTCGAGATGCACTCGAATCGGGATCCCGTTCAACCATTCGGGTTACTCGGAAGTCTTCGACAAAATGGAGATTGAGAAGTACCCAATCATTCAAGCATTTGCGAGTGATGAGATCAGCAGCAAGGGTTTCTTCACTCTGAATTATGATGTATTCGATATTTCCAGCCACCTGCATGGAGTATACTCGGATGTTGACCCTGTTCTGTTCTCTTCTAGGGTCCTAAAAGAGGTAAGTAAAACTGAGTTTAAAAGCTTTTTTTTGCAATTTTTTGCTCTTTTACACTTTCCACACATTTTCCATTTTCCTCGTTTTTTTACTTGCTACTATGGCTAAATACATACCTTGGCTCTTTTCCAGTTCCCCCATTGATTTTTTCTGAAATTCAATTAATGAAAGTCTAATTAAAATTAATTTTCATGTTATAAACTGCATCAAAATGTGTCAGCGTGAACAGGTGAACAGATGTTTACAACAATTTTTATACGCAAAATGTCATGTGAACATTTTTTAACAGCTTAATTTTGTAATTTTCGGAAGGGGGTGGGAAACTGGAAAAGAGCCCAAACCTTTATAGTAATAGTAGTAAAAAAAAATTCTACCATCCTAGGATGCAGATAATCAAAATAGAAACCAGTGATAATAAGAACCCACTGGGCATAATTCGTTAATTCGCCCTTGAAGCCCTAGTTATTCTAGTTGATCTAATATGAAACTGTATTTCTAGGTGAAGCAGTTTGAGAACCAGTGGAGCGAGTTCTTCCACCACATGGAGGAGGCGACCCTGGATCTGAGTGGGCTGGACGAGCGGAAGGTGATGGAGCCATTCTCCTTCTACTTCAACCATGGCAAACTGGCCTTCACAAACTTCGCCAGGAGCAACAGGGGAGAGATGCCATTCGTCCTGTTCGGATCCCACTCCAAGAAGTCCAACTTGGAGAAGAGCAGAACTGGGGCACGGATTGAGTCGGTCAGTACAAAAAATGGAATTTTTTGGTTTTGATCAAAGTAAATCAGAAAAGCGAACACCGAGTTAGAAATTTTGATTCAACATGATAGCTCACTCAGCCAGTTTTTTCAGAATAAGTAAAATTTCGTGAAAAAAATATCCCTTTACGCCTATCAAAGATTTTTCCTAGTGTTCAGCCTTTTTAAAAAATCAAGAAACTTGGTCATCGTTTTGATGTTGACCGTCTTAAATTTTCGGCTTTTTCCAGTTTCTTCTTTTTGATTTTTCTAAAATCCAATATTTGAAAGTCTTTTCAAAATTACTTTTCATGTTACAAACTGCATCAAATGTGAACAACTTTTTACGGCGCTTTTCCAGTTTCCCACCCCACTTGTTAAATTACAAAACAAAGATGTTCAAAAATTGTTCACACGGCAATTTGCGTGTTGGAAATGTTGTAGAAATTTGTTCACATGTTCACGCTGACACGTTTTATTGCAGTTTCTAACATGAAAAGTCATTTTAAATAGACTTTCATATAATGAGTCTCAGAAAATATTAAAGGGGCGGGGGACTGGAAAAGAGCCATTTTTACCACACTTTCTATATGCAAAACTCCGTGTGAACAATTTTCGAACACCTTTTTTTGTGTAATTTTACGGGGGATGGGAAATTGGAAAAGATTCGAATTTTTTCCTTTTTTTAGAGAAAAGATGCTGGCTGTTGTCTGTTCTCCTCCATAGTATCCTTTTCGATCATTAGCACTGCTCTAAGATCTTCTTGCAGGCATGTACTTTTGATTTTTATTTTATATCTACCTGGTAAAACAATTCAAATTTATAAACAAAGATAGCCGGTGACTGTGCAAGTAGCACAAAATGTTACGACCATAATCTTAAAAACACAAAAAAAAAGTTTTTTTTTCAAATTTGTGTCGTTTTTGCTGCGTTGTGTCATAAAAAGGTCTGAATGAAAAAAAAGACCTCAAGCATATTCTACAGTCAATTCTACAGTAAATTAGGGCAATTGGAAAACAGTTTTTTTTAGAAAAAAGACTGGAAAAGCTAAGAAAAAATCATTAAAATTTTCTTCATACGTTTTTGCAGAAGTTTTTGATTCCCAAAACGTCGCTGAAAACTTAGAAAAAAACTAATATTTTTTCAGTGAAACTAATTTTTTACGTCGTAAATTAAGCATGAATAAGCTTCTGTAAACCTGTAACCTCACCTGATTAGATCGAAATTACCCCAAAAATCAAAAATTTCAAACTGGTTTTTCTCAACACTGAAAGGTTTTGTTCAAAAATTTTTAAGGTCGTTCGAGTAACAACTGAACGGGTTTTAATATGATGTATCACTCGACCTACTCCGATGATTATTTGTGATACCTGATTTTGCGTGAAAAAAAACTTAAACACACTAGGTGAAAAAAAAACTTAAAAAAGTTGCCAACCATGAAGTTTTCGATTTGAAAATTCTAAGTTTATTGGTTTACTGAAGCTGAGTTCATCAGACTTTTGGGACGGCTATTCTTTTTGTTCTAAGGGAATTGGAATTGGCTGTTGTTACGAGGCCAAACTGTGAGCGAAATGTGTCTGGCTGAAATCGGCTTTGTGAAAACGCAATGAAATTTATAATGATTTTTGTTGCTGCGGAATCTACATATAAACGGCTAAAACCGTTTACAGCTAAAACCGTTTAGCAGAAGGAGCAAATTTTGCGGAATCTGGAAAAAAATGCAGAGTCTAAAACAGTTTGTTGAATCCATAATTATAAAATTTTTCATGTGCGAGTTAGATTGAGCTCTTTGCGCTCTCATTGCGGATTTGGCGATACAAAGAGTAATCCGACAAGTTTTATGTTACAGTTATGTGTTTGTGGATTCCGCAACAATCTGTAATTGGATGTTCAAAGGTTTGTCTCCAGATTCCAGGGTCTTACATTTACCAAACGGAGCGCGTATGCAGATCTCAGTTTAGCCTGGTTTTTTCTATCATGATTAGGAGTAATGAAAATAGTGAAAACTCTCATATAGGTCTGGCTGATTTGTTTTTTTTTCTTCTAGAAACAGTCTTAAAAGTCCATAATAACTACAGATGTGCATTCATGCATATTGATGCTTAGGTTTAAATGCACTTTTTGAGTTCAATTAAAATTCATCTGCTGAAAGTGACGTAAATAGCACTTTTCAACTACGAACGTGGAAACGGCGCGAAAAAACGTGAACGATTTCTAGTTTCGAAAATGGAATTTCTTTTTTAGATTTCCAGCGGAATAACAACTTTACCTATTGATCCAGTTTTGTCAAGTTGGGTTCATGTTATCAAAAAACCGCGAATCATAAATTGTTCGAGAAACTCAAAGACTTTAAAGGGCATCTATTTTTTTCTTTGAAATTCAAAAGTTGAGATTTTTTCAACAAATTAATTGTTTTTTTAATGTTTACTTGCGATCCTTATTCTTTTCCAATCTTCGATTGGCTTTGTTTTTTTTCTTATTTAAGCGACAAATGCTTATTTTAGGTTACGCTAGGGACGGCTGGCAGAACAGGAAAAACAGCCAAACACATGATCTTACATGCAATTGCTCCCAACTCGCCCTTGAGATGCAGTCGGACCTACTTCTTCGGATACGATCACGAGGTCACGCCCCCCTCGTCCGACCAATCAGTGAAGAGCATCTCGTTCTCAATCGACATGCAGGCATTGAACGTGTTGTACTTAATAACAGTCGACCTTGTCAAGGAAGCGATCGAAGTTTACGTGAAGACATTAAGTGTTCAGCAAGCTAAACTAGTCGTGATGCAGAAGCTTCCGGACAAGTTAAGAAAAGCGGACATAGGTCTTCCGGGACCTTTTGTGAGTTACTTGACGACTCAAGGGTCATTAGAGTTCTCACTCAAGGGCTTTGATATCAACGGCATGTCAATTGATCTCAAAGAAAAACAGCGTCGAACCTGTCTGAAAAACGCACGCATTATCGTGTACGATGTTCCGAGTATTGAGTTCAAGGACAAATACTTAGGGTCAATTATCTTCTCAGAAACCTTCATTGATTCTCATTTTGACATTGTCGAAGATTACAAAGTTGATGGTCAGCGAAAAACAGTAACCAAATCGGACTATATGATTCTAACCGAAAGGGTTCCGGTCTATTTCAACTGGGCTGTTTACAAACAAGATCGCCAGATATCTGCAGATTGTCGAGACTTCTCAGCAAAAGTTTCCGAAGACCCGAGTTTGCAGAACCATTTCGGGAAGTTGTTTGTTCACGACGCCAAAGCACAAATGACTTCGGTCGAAAGAAGCAATATTACATACAACGTCTCTTTGAATCTTTTCGAAAAAGGCATCATTATCAACACGGAGTTCACCGGCAGTATTGTAATCCCACAAAACGAAATAGCCAAAATAATTTTTTATGATTCTCCAAATGTAAATAACAATTCGATTATCAGTTTTCTGATTAATTCTGAGTTTAGAGTGCAAAATTTGCCTCCGACTTTAAACGGAACCCAATCTGCAAATATTATCATAATGTTCCAACCGAGGAGTCAAAGCTTCAACGGATTATACAAACATATGATTGACATGTGGGCGAAAAATAACAGTGAAAATGAAGCAAGTTCAAAATGGTTTGAGCAGATAGAAAGCGTGGAAAATAATTCCAAACTAATCCCGTTCCTAACAGCCGGAAAGTCTTCAGCTATCGTGCCAACAAAAAACAATTCCGATAATTTGTTCACAAACTTCAGTGCCAGTCAAAAGTATCTGATTTCGTTTACAGGAAATGTTGCAAGCTTCATGGAAAACCTGAAAATAAGCTCAAGTCAAGCTGTAGTTGCTAAGAAACATTTGAAAGTTATGATGGGTGATGACAAATTGGCTAGCAGAGACGTTTCAGAACTCGAGAGCTCCGAAGGCCAGAAACTTGACCACTGCAAAGTGTGGGTCACTATAATAGCTGGTCTGCCCTGGTCGCATAAAGGGCAGTTGGCCGAAAATATTGTGAACATGACTAAAGGCTCCTACAAATGGGTATTCATAAAAGCCTTCGATGAAAGCACCGATTTCAATGTTGAAAACATGCAGAAGAATCTGACTTCAATTGTGACAGAGTGGAAAAAAGAAAACCACGAGGATGAGTCAAGTATTCTGAGACTGATGGTTGTGCCGCCCAGTTCGGTCGAACTGATAAGCATGGTCCAGGCTATATCCAGTCATCCGGACAAGAATGTAGCATCCCACTTGGAAATACAGTCAGTTATTTACTGCATCGACCAAGCCAGAGCATATATTAAGTTCAACATGACCATGCCTAAATTGTTGGACCAATGCTCTCAAGGTCTTGTAAACTGCATTGTTTACACTGGAACCAACGAAAAATCAACCAATCAAAACTCAGCTGCAGCGAAAGAAAGTCAAAAACTACAAAACCTACTTCGAAATGTGAACACAAATGTCGTTTTTGTTTTTGCACCCGAAGGGAACTTCGTCAAGACAAAAGAACTAGGAGCTATTCTGGGAGAAAATGCTTTCCAGGAACTAGACTTGGTCAGAGCGAGGTATTTCATGTACCCAACTTGGTATGTTGGAAAGTTCAAAACGAGTCCTTCGGAGCCATTCACGTATGAGCTAAACATGACCTTGAAAGCGCCGATGGAAAAACACAGACTAAATGAAGCGCTTAAATCTCTCTCAGCTTTGGACAATCTCTTCTTTGTCCATGGAAAGTTCCAAGTATGCACTGAACCCTATGGAAAAGGAATCATTTCAACTTGGGATTTGAAGTTTTGGGTTCCTTCAGCTGACCCCCAGTTGGAACAGGTCAACCCGGCTGAAGGTCAGAAGGGTGACACCGGGTCAGGTGATGCGAAAAAAGGGTGTGGTAAGATATACATCTATGGACACCAGTTGAAAGAAAAAGTACTCCAGGATATTCTAAGGAAAGGAGTTTCCCCGAAGCCAAAGCCAAAACCGTTGCGGGATGAGAAAAGTTTGACAGAGGGGGAGAAAAAACTGATTCACAAGAAGCGCCACCTGGAGAAATTACCCCCAGGTGTATTCTACAATGGGACTTATTTTGTGTCAATGGACGGGGAAAAGTCTTATTGGCACCCAAATATGGAAGTATTTGTAGAAGACTTCCTCAAGTCCGCCAACGAACAGATTAATGAGTATAATAAGAAGATTTCGCAAATGCACTACGCCGATCTTTTTGATGGATAGCCAAAAAGATATTCTGGTACAAATGTGTTATCAAAACTATTTGATTATTTTATTTTGTAGTTTTCACTATTGTACATCATGCAGTTGATTTTAATTGTACCTTGTATAAGCAATCTTTTCATTCAAAAAATACGCTACAAAGAAAAAGTGGATTTTTTCATGGTTAACTGAATTCAGTGAGAACCATTTCATCCACTGAATAGTTTCTTGTTTCAGCCGAGCGTAGTTTTCATTTTTCAATTTCATCTTTTCGACCCATTTCAGTCTAAACTATTTCTATTTTTTCCCAAACTTTCTGATGTTTGAAAAAATATCTGATGGAGTTTTTTCTTGAATTTTTTTTGTTTTACAAGGCGCTAGCCTTGTTGTTTTTGTTTTTTGCTGGCGTAAGAATACTAACTTTTTCCTCTAAGTTAATATAAATTATTATATTACTGCACAAATCGCGACCTGCACAAAACCCTAGAGTACTTGGAGTGCAAATCTTGCAAGGGTCATGCAAAGGAATGTGAATCCTCCTAAAATCTTGAAGTTAAGTTGGTTCAAATAAATCCAAAAAAGACTAACTAACTTGCATTTGAAGTGAAGTAACTGAAAGTTTGTGAATAAACGAATCAACTTCTCCTGTACTATCAACTTCCCGATTATGCTCCTGTAAAAATTGCGTGGTTTAGATGTTTGACTACATGGATGGTGGTCTTTGAATGATCAAAAAAAAATCAGTCCCAAACAATTTGCAAACTTATTACGAGACCAAACTGTGCACTGAATAGGCGCACAATTTGGTGCCTGTATGTTACCGGATTCCAGAGACATGTTTTTGAACAAGTTCCAAAAAGTAATTGGATTCCACTAACAGATTTTCCGTGGATTTCGTGTACAAGTACCTATAAGGTAAATTACGTCGTCATGTTTGGTTTAATCGGATTGCGCAACAAACAAACATTCTGGAAACCCCGAATTCTGGAAAGAGTTGTTCTGGAAACCCCGATTGTAAGCAGATTCCGCAAAATGTAGGCGGATTACGCAAATTTAAGGGGATTCCAAAAATACAAGTGGATCGTAGTTTTGTTTGTTATAATGAACTGAAATAGAGCTTACTTGAACAATTGTTCCGTTTTCCGCAAGTACTGATGCGGATTCCGCAAACTTTAGCTCTTTGTTCATGGAATCCAAAACAGCAAAAAAAATTGAAGAAAAATAGCAACGTCGCAAAATCCGTAATTGTTGCGGAATCCGTTGACAATTCACAAAATGCACAGTTTGGCCTCGTAATGTTGTAAACTTTTTTCATTATATTTAATTGTTTTTAACATCGAAAAACAATAGAAAAAAAATTAAACCTTTTCGGCGACTTTTTGAGAACAGTTGAATAGAGTGGTGACAAAAAAAACTGATTTAAATTTTTTTTGAAAAAAAAAAGCTTACCATACAATTTCCATATACGACACAAAAATTTTTCAGTAGTAATTTTGAAAACTTGCCCCAAAAATTTTTTTTGTTTTTTTTTTTCAGCCGCAAATCTAATTTTGTACGCAAACAAACACTTTCCGAAAAAATTTTTGCATGCAAAATTTAATTTTTCGTGTGCATAACGTAGTCCTAGATACGATAATAATGGCTTTTTTTTTCTTCTCACTTCAATTTTATTTTTCAAATTACTGAAAATTCCTATTTCTTTTGTATGGCGTGTTTTTGTATGCCTTGATCACTGTCTGATAATTTGAAAATATAAAATTTTGAATTAATCATCATTGAAAAATTTAGCCAAAAATTATAATTTTGTTACTTTTGTTATATAATTTGTGAAAGGCAGCTCGAAGACAATTCAGTTCGTTTTTCATGCAGTGTAAATGTAAGACCGTCCAATTTTTGTTGCTTTGAGTAACCAAGGACTTTGTCACTTGTGCTCGGCTGCAAGAACAACCGAAAATTTGTCAGAAAATAAATGTAGCAACAAAAACCAACTTTTTAGTTTATGGAGAAAATCCCTATCATACAATTTCCATTCAAGGTAAAATGTTTATTATAAAAATTTCTTAAAATTTTTTGTATGTATGGAATTGCATGGAATTGTATGAAAAGAAATTTCCCATTTAAGAGAATTGTATGATTTTTTTTCTGTCAACCCTCTGGTGAAAGCTCAGACCTTTCTTGATTCTGCCACGCACCCAAACGGGAACATCGATGTAAAGTAAGGTCGGGCATTAGCAAAAAGTAGAGAAAAACAGGACGTTTATGGTCCCAATAGTGAGCATAAATGTCTTCACTGTTCGCTAAAGACTGCCTTTCTGTGGTCACAGAGACGATTAGGTTATTGTAGTACTAATTAACTCCGGGCAAATTGATCTCAGATTGGGAAGTTTCAAGACTCTTCTCCATTTAAAAGCAGCGTCAGTTGTGCCAGTTAACGCAGCATCTGGATATGTGTGGAAAAAGTACCTGCCACATTAGCTGCTTCTCCCACAAAAACAAGGAAACATTCAATCTATTATGAAAAGTGAAATTAAACAAAATATAAATCTTCCACAATCCCCTCGAATTTCGTCAACCTTGAATTCGATACTATTAAAACAAGCAGCAAAAGAATGCGTTTCATTACAGCGCAGCGGATATAGCGGATTTTGAAATCAACATTTAGATCCAAAATAAATGTAAAAAAATTAACAGAAAATTTCGCAAATTTCACAATAGCAAATTTCTTTTCACAATCGCAAATTTTCACAATCGCAAATTAACACAATTGCAAATTTCTTTTCATACAATTCCATACGTACAGAAAAATATATGAAGTCTTCATATTAAACGTTTTCCCATAAATGAAAATTGTTTGATAGGGGTTTCCTCCATAAAACAAAAAGTTGGTTTTTGTTGCTACACTTGTTTTCGGACAAATTTTCGGTTGTATTTGCAACCGAGCACAAGTGACAAATTCCTTGGTTACTCAAAGCAACCGAGGTTGGACGGTCTTACATTTACATTGCATGAAAAATGACCTGAATTGTCTTCGAGCAGTCTTTCGCAAATTCAATAACAAAAGTAACAAACTTTTAATTTTTGGCAAAATTTTTCAATGATGATTAATTAAAATTTTTGAGTTTTCAAATTATCAGACATTGATCAAGGCATACATAAACACGCCATACAAAAGAATTAAGAATTTTCAGTGTCTTTGAAAAAAAATTAAGTGGAAAGAAAAAAAAAGCCATTATTATCGTATCTAGGACTACGTTATGCACACAAAAAATTAAATTTTGCTTGCAAAATTTTTTTTTTCGGAAAATGTTTCTTTGCGTACAAAATTAGATTTGCGTTTGAAAAAAAAAACCAAAAAAAATTTTGGGGCAAGTTTTCAAAATAACTACTGAAAAATTTTTGTGTCGTATATGGAAATTGTATGGTAAGAATTTTTTTCAAAAAAGAACTCAAATCAGTTTTTTTGTCACCACTCTGTTCAACTGTTCTCAAAAAGTCGCAGAAATGGTTTAATTTTTTTCTATTGTTTTTCGAAAATGTATAGAATTTGTCTGACAACCTTTTTCTCCATAAACTTGATGTATGGAATTGTATGATATTGATTTTTTTTGTATGGAATTGTATGATAACCAGTTTCGGTGTATGGAGGTCAACCCTGGATCTAAATCAGGATTTCTTCAGCTCAAACTTTACCGCAACATTCGAAATTTGCACTTTCTCAGTTAGATTGTTTTTATTGTTCCGATCTTCGAAGAAGAACGAATATTTATCCTTGGGGCGGCGATCGAAATAATAGTTTCTAAGGAGAAATTTTTTTGACCCATTGAAGATATCGGCTCCTTGAAATCATTTTTAAAAAGATCTTTCACCTCCAATTTTTTTGCAGAGTTATAGAAGTTACCAAAATTGCATATTTGGCCATGCTCTGGACTAACTTATGCGCAGTTTGAAAATTTTTTTCATAATCCTGAAAGCGTAACGCGAATTATTTATGCGTGGCGAATTTTCCCGCACAGCAAAATCGTTCCAAATTGAATTGAGAGTAACTAGTTGGTCGTATTAACTTTATACGACTCAAATTTTCATGCTTAATTTTTGATAGTATCCAAAAATTTACAGTTCTTAAAGATTTTCTTTTCCCCAAAACTTATTCGATATGAATTACGTGGAAGTCGGAAAAATCAGGGTTTTGCCCTGATATACGAGCAGTCTTGTTATATTTGATTTTTACGTGACGTACTAGAAATATTTGTCAACTCCTATATATCACAATGAAGCGTGTCTACCCGTTTACAGATTTAGTCGATTAGTGTGCAAGTAGCGTAAATGTATCGAACAAAATACTCATGCAAAAAAGTAAATTAAAGTTAAAAACAGATTTTTTAATTTCTGTCGAAATTAAATGTTTCCAAGGTGATAAAAAAGCAGCCAAAAATCTGCGGATAATCATGCGGGAAAGACAAAATCTGCGGGAAAGACAAAAATTACTGACCTATTTTAGATGCAATCTGCTGAATGATTGAGAACGAGCAGTGATCCTCAGCGTTGAACTTTTTTGATACCATAGCGATTAACAAGGTTATTGCAATTGGGTGCCGGACTTTTTCCCCGTGATTAATTTTGTTCACAGAAGGGTCAAATGGTAATCAGTATATTTCATATCCGTTGCGTGGTCAGTGTACGGCTACATGGTTAATTTCAAGCAAGGTTACTGTATTGAGTCTATTAATTTCTTGTCACGTATACATTTTTTTGGAAAATTTTCGACACTGAGGTAGATCGCTCGGATTTTATTCTGTCGGCCTACTTTCCTAATGTTTTCTTTCAATTAGTTTTGTTGTTTTTAAATTATTTGATTATTATTTAAAAAAGCTTTAAAATCTAAATCACCCTCTGCCTTCCGTAATACGATTAGAAAAACTATGCAAAGAGATTGTTAAATAGTTTTTAAAATGATGATCTCTTCGATTTTGATGATAAAGTTGGCGCATTTTCTTGCATTTGTTCTCTTTTTTCGCCAAAACACAAACGCGTAGTTCTCTCAGTGTTCTGTCTAGGTTCGTCAGAGTGGCAATCAATTCCCTATTGAAGATGGGCGACAGCTTGATTTCTATTATGCCCACTAGTGTAACCTTCT